AGCAGTGATCTCGGCTAAGATCTGACTGGCTGTGAGCAAGCATTTGTGAAATAGCAGGACAGGCAAAGTACAGATTTCTTGCAGGGGTAGGACGACCTGATAACCAGAAGGCTGCCTTGGATTTTCAACCTGAGCTTTAATTTGCTAGTTGCAAATATTCAAAGTAAGGCAGTAGCTTTCCTGGAAAGCTATAGAGAAGTACTACTAGTCCCATGTGAATTAGTGGTTATTAAAAGATATTCAATGCTCAGATTTTCTTTAATGATTAATCCATTTTCCTTATGAAGCAGACAGATTCTCCTCAGTTTAATTGTAGTTTTGGATCAGTGCTTGGCTGTCATTTTTGCATCTCTCTGACCTGTCTTGACTTGGGGTTGTACTGGAACTAGTTAGTGCTTGAGAAATGAAGACTTTGCAGTTGATTTCCAGCTGTTGATGGTGGTTATGACTTGGCTACCTTACCCTTGGTTTTTAAAGTCAGCCAAATACATAAACAGATACCATTTACCATGTAAAGTGGGAGGTTATGAATTCTGGTCTCCAACTTTGTTTTTACTTCTTCAAAGTTAATTCTGGCTTGTTAATGTGTTAAGATTTCTTTTTTAAAACCCCTTTATTTCAGTTCACTATCTTTGTTAGTAATTAATTTTTGGATTGGTTTTTTTTTTCCTTTGTTTTGAGTGGGATCATAAGAGAAGAGTTTGAAAAAAGATTTGCCAGGCAATAAAACTGGGAAGGGAAAGTTGGATGAATCATCAGCTGCTCTGGTTTGGCTGCAGCCTTGTTTTATCATACTATTAAGTAGTGTCAAGCTGGTGTAGTGCTTGGATCAGGTGAATGAGATATGCAGCACAAATTACAGCAAGTATTCCTGTTAGAGTAAGTATTCTTTCAAATAATTTAGTAGCCAATTACACCAAATTATTTTTGCACTGACAGTGTTCAGGAATTGCCACCTTACCTAAGGTTTGAGTATGCCTGATTATTACAGATCCCATATTGCCAGGATACAGGCTTACAAATCCAGTAACATGATTAAGTCTTTAAACTTGGGGGGAAAAAAAATAATTATTCCACTGCTTTGAAATTTCCCATGTGGTTGTTATTGGGTCTGAATCTCCATTTTCTTTCCAAAATTACTGTCTAGCATATATGCTCTTAAAGAACTTCTGTATTTTACTGAAAAGTAAGTTTCAATATACACAGATTTTTTTTTTTTTTAATTTAAGATTTTGGGATTTTGTTTTCTTACCAAAGATTTTTATAAACCAGGGACTGAAAATATTCAGATTCTTAGTGTAATGTGACCCAGTTCTTATTTTGCTTGTCTCCCTGACAAGTGTATTTTACACAAATACACAAAAGCTCGTGTATTTGATGATTGGCACGTTGCATATCAACCTTACATTTGACTGAATAGCCTATCATCCCAACTGCTCTGCTGACATAACCTGGGCAAATCTGAAGCTCTGTGAAAACTGCAGCGTTTTATTCTGCTCCTTGAATTTCTGGTGTCTCAGAATTGGTATCTTAATCTGCTATTGGCTTTTATAACCTAATTTTCTTGATTTCTGTCATCTTAAAAAAAAAAAAAATGAGGGGTGACTGGGAAATTTGTATTTATTTTACTTTGGAGTTGTATTGTTAGCACAACTGATATTTCATAATGGTTTAACTTGCCTAGGATAAGCAGCTGTAATTTGTTGTCTGATTGCACTGTGGAAATTAAAATTTATATAAGGCGTGCTTACAAAATTAAGTGTTCAATTGATATTTAGTTCATGGTTGTTTTCTCCCGAGTTGAATATTGTTTTTAGTGAGGGCTGTACCTGGGAAGTTAGCAATGCAAATGTAGCTGTGTTTCACTTACAGGGACACCTCAGCTGTCTGTCCATCCCTCCTCAATAAAAATACGTTGTTGTTTTATCCCTGTATAATTCAGGAAGGAATAACGCTTTAAAATCAAAATTAAAACGTTTGAGATGAGATCAATTCAGCCCAAAAGAGCTCTATTCAGCGAACACCAACTTGAGGAGGGTGGCTAATGGAAAGCCTGTTGCAGCTCTGATGGTCTTGTTAGCTGTGGAGCAAGTAGTCATGGCTATCATTGGCGATACCGCGGCAGATACGTTAGTAGCAGTTGGGCTTTTCCTTTCCTCCACAGACAGAAAAATATTCCCACTCTCTGCAGATACTGCGGTGCTGCCATTTGCCTCCTCAGCCGGTGAGCGTGAGTGATAACGGGAGCCGTGCCGCACGGAAGTATTTTCGGAGCCCAAAGCTGCTTGTGGTGCTTGAGGGATGGATTTTGTTGGGGTATCGTGTAGGTGTTTGAGCCCTCAGAGGTGTGATGAGCACATGCACGAAAATGAAAGGTTTCAGAGTGTGTTGGAGCGCACTCTTCAGTGCTCTTGTGCTGGGAGAGCACTTCGGTGCAGAAGTGCAAGGTACAATGCATATGGTTGTGGGGGAAGAACAGGAGCTTCTGTGTTGAAATGCTGGGTGCATCTGTCTCAGGATCTGTGCATCCACGCTGTGTTATTGTCAAATACCTATTTTTAGGGTGAGGATCTAATTGGTATTCATGCAGAGGGGTGTATCCCTGTCTCATCTGAGTGATGCACTTGGTAGGAGGTGGCTGCTGCTGAATCTTTCCTGAGCAGAGTGTGTTCATGTCAGTTCTGTTCTCTCTCACAGTGTCTCAACTCTCCTGTTTGTAAAATGAGATGTCCTGCTTCATAGATTCTGTTAAAGACCCTGAAGCACTTGGAAAACTGCAGGAATTTGGAGCAGGGAATGAATCTCCCCCTCTACTCCTCTCTTGTAAGGCCCCACCTGGAGTACTGTGTCCAGTTCTGGAGCTCCCAGCATCAGAAGGACATGGACCAGTTAGAACGAGTCCAGAGGAGGCCACGAGGATGATGCGAGGGCTGGAGCACCTCTGCTGTGAGGACAGGCTGAGAGGGGTGAGCCGTTCAGCCTGGAGAAGAGAAGGCTCCAGGGAGACCTTCTAGTGGCCTCCCAGTACCTGAAGGGGCTCCAGGAAGGGGGGGGAGGGACTTTGTCCAAGGGCAGGGAGTGACAGAACAAGGGGTGATGGCTTGAAACTGGCAGAGGGGAGGTGGAGATGGGATGTGAGGAAGAAATTGTTTGGTGTGAGGGTGGTGAGACAGTGTCCCAGGTTGGCCAGAGAAGCTGTGTCTGCTCCTCCCTGGAAGTGTTCTCGGCCAGGTTGGATGAGGCTTTGAGCTACGTGGTCTAGTGGAAGGTGTCCCTGCTGATGGCAGGGGGGTTGGAACTAGAGGAGCTTTAAGGTCCCTTCCAACCCAGACCAGTCTGTGGTTCTGTGATTAATCTGTTACATGTGTGTACACAAGTATGTGCGCAGGTGTTTATGCATTTAACTTTCATGTGCACTGTGACATGCTCAAAGAAAGTGTCATCTAAGCCTCTAAAAAGCTGAATTTCAAAGATGAAAGATGCCAAACTTGCAGCCCTTCACGATGTTATTCTTCTCTTTATGCAAAGAATAAAAGCAGAACGCAGGTTGTGGCCATGGAAACTTCGCTACCTCGGTCCAGACTTCAAAGGATTGCTCCTACTATAGTGATGCAGCCAATTATGAGTAAGAATTATGATCTTTCTGCTGCCTTGGCTACTCCAAAAGACAGCCTACAAGCATGTGCGCTAAGTGTACGAGTTCATACGAGTTCATGCTGCTAAATATTTTCTTCATATAAAATAATTGTTAAAATAGAAAACCCTGGGTACAAGTGCTAGCCACCTCGGACAGGTGTGTTTTGTTTTTATGAGAGGTAATAGATAATACTTATGAGAGGAAAGATCCTGAGTCTGTTTCTATCCTGTGGCAAAATTTGTTGTGTGACCTTGGACAAGTAATTTTTTCAGATTTGGGGAAAAGGCTTGTTATATTGTGAATTAAGCAAGATTTAATTCCATGAAATGGTATGTATATTGAGGAAAAATGGGTTATGGTAGGCAAAGCTTTAACTATTATGAGCTTAATATAGTCTCTTCCACCTCGACACGGTAGATGTAATTATCTATATATAGTATTATGCATGATCTTGGTGTTTTAAAATGAGATATGTAATCCTAGCTCTAAGGAATAGGATTCATTATAATGTCACCTGATACAAAAAGAGAGGCTAGGCCTTAGAGAGAAATTAATTTCCCCCAAAATTAAGGTAGTCAGAGTCCTGACTTTTCCAGATGATCTAATTAAATTGTGGTTTGTGCATGGCATGAAGGCGTATTCCCTTTTAGCTGTGATTTTTGGTCTGTTCAACCAAGGAACAAGTGACAGGACAAGAGGAAATGGCCTCAAGTTGCACCAGGGGCAGTTGAGATTGGATGTGAGGAAGAATTTCTTTGCTGAAAGGGTTCTGAGGCATTGGAAGGGGTTGCACAGGGCAGTGGTGGAGTCCCCATCCCTGGAGGGATTTCAGAGTGGTGTAGACATAGTGCTGAGGGACATGGGTTAGTTGGGGACTTGTCAGTGTTGGGTTCATGATTGGACTAGATGATCTGAAAGGTCTTTTCCAGTCGAGGCAATTCTGGGATTTTCCTCTTACCTGACACAGTAAACCTACGGAATTAGGTCTGGGAATCTTGGTGAAGAGTCCCGAGGTTATGTTGCTTACGTAGATCCTTTGAATGGATCTTCGTTCTTTACCTGGGAACAGTTGGGATGCTCTGTCTGAGACTGTCCTGGCAGTGTTGCCATCAGCACTGTCCCAGCTGCTACCAGCAGGGATGGTTCCTCCCAGAGACACAATCACAGGCCTTTTTGGGTTATTCTGTCTGGCTGTGACTAGGGTGTATGAAGCAGGATGATCTTCACGCAGATATCCGTGATGGGGGGCGAAGTAGAGGAGGAATACAATTGGGTGTTTCGATTCTTAGGGTTCACCTTGTTTGTATCTCAGGAGTTCCCTTTCTGCTCTTTTCTCCACACAGATACTCTTGCTTCCAGCATCATGGCCTCTGACCTGGAAAGCAGCCTCACTTCCATAGACTGGCTCCCACAGCTTACTTTAAGGGCTACTATTGAAAAATTAGGGGGTTCCTCACAAGCAGGACCTCCAGGGGCTGCCCGAAAGTGTCCCCCAGGCTCACCGACAGATCCCAATGCCACCCTGAGTAAGGATGAAGCTGCAGTGCACCAAGATGGGAAGCCACGTTACAGCTACGCCACTTTGATCACATATGCCATCAACTCGTCACCTGCCAAGAAGATGACGCTTAGTGAGATCTACCGTTGGATCTGTGACAACTTTCCCAAAAAACAAAAATGCTGGTATTGGTTGGAAGGTGAGGACTTGCATCGCTAAAGTACCCTTTTTGTCTAATTACAAGACTTATTTTCTTAATTCTGTGCAAAATATCCTCACTGAGCAGAATAAAAAGGCAGATGTGAAACTAAGTTGACCAGCTGGAAAAAATACAGAGCCAGAAGTCCCATTTTCTCTCAGAATTTTGTCATATGTATGTGGTGGCCCCTTAAGAACCACCAACAGCAACCAAGAAAAACAAAATTAAAAAACCCCCCCATATCCCACATCACTGCCAGCTTCTGTGTCACACTAATATTATTTTCACTGCACCTCCTGTGGATGTGTAGATGGTTCAGCCCCATATTATTTATCCTAATCCATCCCTCTCCTATCCCCAGCTTCTCTTCGGCTGCGTTGTGGGTATGTGTAGTGCACTTTCAGTTTTAAGTACACACCATCCCTCTATTTTCTCTACCTGCTCCTGGATGTACTGAGAAGGCTGTAGATTTTTTTATGTAGCACTTACCTGTATCTCTTAATTTCTCATCAGAACTCTATTCGTCATAACCTCTCTCTGAATAAATGTTTTCGGAAGGTGCCTCGACCGAGGGATGATCCTGGGAAGGTAAGAAATCTGCATGCTCTTGGGCAAGCAATTTAAAACTGCAGGGAATAAGCCAGGGTTGCCCTTTCTAACTCATGGTTGGAATTTGAAACCTAAAGTGTAGGCAAAAATGGAAGCAGTAGTAAGATTTACTGCAGGGCTTTGGCTACAGAAGCATTCACTTAAAGGGAACTTGTAAAGGGGCCTTAATGGTTTTAACAATTACTTTTCTTATCTGTAATCTTCAGTTGACTTTAAAGATATTGGAAGAAGGAAAAATCGGGATTGAATGTACTATATCAGTTTTGTTTCTTTTTCTTCTAGATTTTTATGTGTAAAATGTGGGTGTAGTCCAACCTTTTCTATTATGAAAAGCCATAGTGGCAGCTGGTGAATGGCAGGACTGTGACGTGACATTGTTGGGTTTCATTGAGACAAGTTCCATGGAAGTGAGGGCAGAACTACTCCCTGCTTAGACTGCAAAGCGTTTGGTGTTGGGGGAAAAAAAAATGTCACCATCAGATAGTTCATATCTGCAGAAATCAGCTACAAGTAAAACTCGAGAATTTAGGAATTTGTTGGCTAAGTAAGGGCTAATAAAGCTCTTCCAGTGTGTATAGGTTGTAACAGGGAATTGCTAACAAAACCAAGCTGACATCTTGGCACGCAGATACTGCTGCTGTTCAGAAAATAAGCAAACAAACAAACAAGCAGAAGGGGATGGTGAGGACAAGAAGCTTTTAGACAGCAAGATTGTCCTCTCCCCACCATCCTAAAGTTACCAGAAAGGGCCACTTGCGCAGGCCTTTTATTTCAGGTTATATTTAAAGGACTAAGTGGTGCTCAGTTGGCATCTATAAATGGAAGTAATATATCTTTGAAGATCACTGCTCAAAAATACCATTGATTATACGGCTTATTCCAGGAAATCCTAACTGACTTCAGTGTGTATGTTTGCAGGTGTTCATTGGCACATTGGGCTGGGTTTATAATGGAAACCTGTCCTGTGCTTGTCACTGATTATTCAGATTTCAGTTGGAGGTGAAAATGAGCAAAGTCCCACTCTAGAGTTCTCTTTATACTGATTCAGAAAACAGACATAATTATAGATTATTATATGTTGAAGAGGACCTCTTAAAGTTAACGCACACCCCCACTTTCCCCCCAGACAGGGACAATTAGATTGGGTTGTTGAGGTCTTTGTTGAGTTTTGAGTATCTCCAAGGATGGTGATGCCACAACTGGGCACTCGTTCCAGTGCTGCACCACCATCATTATGAAGAATTTTTTCTTTATATCTGGTTGTAATTTCTCTTGCTGCAACTTGTGTGTGTTTGCCTCTTATATTTGTGCTGGGCGTTTTTGAGAAGAGTTTCATTCTACCGTGTTTTTTTAGTTCTTAACCATCATGGTGGTCCTTCTTTGGATGCATTCTGGTATGTCAGTGTCTGTCTTGCACTGGGAACCCACCAAATGGGCACAGTACTCAAAGTGGAGTCTCACAAGCATGGAATGGCCTGAAGTTGCACCAGGGGAGGGTTAGATTGGCTATTGGGAAAAACTTATTCACCAAAAAAAGGTAGTCAAGCATTGGAACAGGCTGCCCAGGAAGGTGGTAGAGTCACCTTCCCTGGTGGGATTTAACAGACGGGCAGACGAGGTGCTCAGGGACATGGGTTAGAGGTGGAATTGGCAGTGTTGGTTTATGGTTGGACTCGGTGATCTTAAAGGTCTTTTCCAACTACTATGATTTTGTGATTCCATGAATAAGAGCGATCCTTCTAACTGTCTCTGCCCAGTCTGAACATTGAGTTGCTTCTCATCAGTCAATGACAAATTCATGTTGTGAGAAAGGTACTGAAGGGGGTGTGCAGGCCCAAAAGAGTTGGCCTAGCTTGGATCAAAACATCCTTTGCTGCTCTTGGTGTCCTGTCTCAGAGCAGTTGGAAGCGTAGAGCGTTCTGCCTTCCACCACTAGCATCGTACCTCATCGTCCAATACAACGCAATGGGAGGAATCTCTTTCCAGCACCCAAGTCTTGGTTGTCTGATATTCTGGAGGGGTGGTCCTTGTAGTCCTAATGCTTAGTTAGTGCTGCATTTTTTGAGTCAGTAACCCTCTGCTTCAGGAAGCTTTCAAATGTAATCATGCACTCACCAATGGGTCTTCTTTCCAGGGCTCTTACTGGACAATAGATACGTGTCCAGATATATCTCGCAAGAGGCGGCATCCTCCAGATGATGACGTGAGTGTTCTTCTTTCCAGACAGCATGGAGCAGGAGGGGGAATTCCCTCCATGTTCTAAGGAGTCCTTCAGGCACCAGCCCATGGTTTTGGGGGGAGGGTGTACAGATGGGGGGACAAAGGCCGGACTGAGTGAACTGTCCTGCTGATGGGCTGCTGTTGCTGCTGCTCAGTTAATCTTGTTTAAAGTTCTTTAGCCTGACTCTTTAGTGACTAAAGCCCAATCCTCCTCTTTTCTAAGCCATGAACTTCTACAGTGGGGGAGCTGGTTTCCCATCTGCAGTTTCACTTCTCCATGTGTTCTTGATTTCTACTCCTTTCCTTTTCTCTTTCTTCCCCATCCACAGATACCACAAGACTCCCCAGAGCAAGAAGCAAGTAAAAGCCCTCGAGGGGCTGTTCCAGTCAGCACAGAAGCCTCTTTGCCACCTGAGGCCACCCCTCAGCTGTCACTCCAGAGCACCACCCCCATTGCCAACTACAGCCAGGTGAGCAGCAGGGAAAAGGATAGAGCCTTGGGGGGGAAATGGGGGCTTGGAGAGGGGGAGGAGTGCGTGAAAGGAAAAGCGAAGTGGTGAGAAGAGAGGGAATCGTGAAATGGTGATATATGGGCAAAAATAAAAAAGAAGGGAAGAAGCTGAAGTTGCATGGATAGAAAATAAGGAGGAAGTGAATGTTAACAAAGGGCTGGACGGGGGTGAGGATAAAGGCATGGTGGTATTGGAGAGCTGAGGAATAGGCTTGTGCTGCAGAGGGATGGTGGTGGTTGATTTTCCTCAAGGAAAGTGGCATTTGGGAAAACTTGAGCTAAGTGACACGGGATATCAGTGCATGTTCTACCTCTGTCTGGTCTCTGATTCCCTGTTGGAAATCACAAAGCCTAGTGCAAGCTGAGGGCGTTCTGCCTTCCTTAGCAGGGCGCAGGGCCTGTGGATGTTGCCTCTACTGTAGCCGGGGGACAGGGCCGCGAAGGAGCCGATGTGACACCCCCGCTGTACAGTGCCAACCATGACTTCAAGTTCTCCTACTCTGAGATCAACTTCCAGGATCTTAGCTGGTCCTTCCGAAATCTCTACAAATCCATGCTGGAGAAATCATCTTCTTCTCAGCACGGTGAGTAACCATATGCGTCATGTGGGGTGGGCAGGTATCTGCCCACACAGTCTTGTCCACCGATCTATCCTTGGTATCTCTCAGATCTTTCCTCATTTAGGAGCCTGTGCAAACAGACTTTCCTTCTTTGGCAAGCTGTAATTAGTTCTGCCAGGAGCAGATAAGAAATCTCCATGTCCTTTATCTATTGCTCCCCCCTAGTTCTTTCAGAATAAAGACGATAATGATTTAAAAAAAACTTGTGTTGATAAAAAAGCAGATACTAAAATGGCAGAAGTTTAGAAAAATGATGTCCTGAGGAAAAGCATGTTGGAGAAGTATTCACAATCTGTCAGGCTAGAAACCATAAGAGGGAGGGGATTGTTGCATGTAGGCAGTGGAGCTTCTCTGAAAGGAGAGTGGAAAGTCATCATTTCTCAGATCTGTTAAAACCAGGATTGTACAAGGCTTTGGAGAATTGAGCTTTGTGGATTGAGAGCACGGAAGAGCCAGCTTGCAGTTCCAGTCACAGCTCTTGCATTTCTGGGACTGAGGGAGCAGCCACCAGAGGGCAGGATCGCTGTAGGGATGAGAGGAGATGTCCACGGAAAACACGGATGTCCACCTTTAAACACTCTCCTAAATATTAGTCTGGTGTAAAAAGGAATGTGTTATTTAGATGAACCTCTCACCTGTGCTGTCAGCCATCACACAGGCAAAGTTTGCTACTCTAGGAGAAGCCTCCTGAACTTGTAGCTTCAGTGAAATAAAAATGTATGACTTACACTGCTCTTATCATGCTGGCACTTGGGACTCTTAGCAGGAGCCTGTTGTGTGAGATGATGTAGAACGAGCAAGCTACAAAAATGTAGAGAAGAACCTTGACTCGATGTGTGCCTCTGTAAAAGCTCAGCAGCTATATGTTTTGGTTTTGTTGTTGTTGTTTTTTTTTCCCAAGTCTTCAGCTGTAATGTAGTCTAGGAAAGCTTGCAATTTTTGAGGAAATTTTCATAGAATCATAGAATGTTGCGAGTTGGAAGGGACCCACAAGGATCATTGAGTCCAACTCCTGAGGCAACTTTTGAAAGCAACTTTTAAATCAGGATGGCAGGGTTCATCCTTTTGCCCCATCGCAATAGTAAGATGCTCTGAGGGATGATTTTGGATCTAGTGAAAAACTGCGGCTTGCTTGTGGATGGCCAGGTAAGGGCACTCTGGTAAGAAATGGGTTGCTTACGTTAGTGGCATGTAATGCCCTTCACTGGGGTTTTTCCCAGAGATTCCACAACATAAGGGGAGAATGAACTGGGGAAGCAGACATAAGAAATATACAGAGCTCCTGATGTGGGGAAGAACAGAAAACACCTGATGCTCTTGCATGTCGGGGATGCCTGAAATACAAGAAGCTGGAAATGACACACCCAATGAGTCAGGAGGAATGAAAGTAATAAAGGAGCCCTGATGCGTGCAGTGTGTGCTCTGTGTACAAAAGCAGTAGGATCTGTGACCTCCAATGATCTGTATGAGAATAATTGTGAAGGTTCCTGACCAAGCTGCTTGTAAAACAGGAACTGAAGGGAGCTTTTGAAAACAGCAAGTCAGGTTTATCAAGTTACCTGTTTTCTAAATATTTTGTTGTTTAAGTTTGCTTAATAGTAATTTCTAGGAAAACAACACCGGCATGATATTTCAGGAGAGCACGGGTTACTTTGGTAAATATAGGAAAAATTCAGGGAGGAATTTAGGTGCCTGACTCTGTACTAGAAGTTTAAATCCTGCTGGTGCTTTGTTGTAGAGCCTTTTATTTTGAACAGAACCTGGAGCGCAGTCAGCACTTACATGTGCAGGTGAGAGTTGTTGGCAGCCTATAGAGGGCACCCCAAAAGCTTCAGAAATAGCAGGATGAGTGAAATTACAGATGGATAATTTCAGCAGAGGTCTGATTTAGGCAGCTCTTAAAGCTCCCTCCTCTTTCTTTTCCTCGACAGGTTTCTCTTCTCTCCTTGGTGACATGCAGCCCTCCAACCACAACTACTACATGTACCAGCAGCAGCAGCAGCAGCAGCAAGGCCCCTCATCAGTGGGTGCTGCTCCCCCACTCCACACTCCAACCCCGGAGGGTTGCCCATCCCAAGGGGGAAAGCAGCAGGGTGGTGAAGGTTATGGCCCTCCACCAGTGATGTCCATGCACCCACCTCCAATGCAGCATGGAGGCTACCACCAGCATCAACAACATCACCCGCACTCCCACCCACAGCAGCAGCCACATCAGCACCAGCAGCAGCAGCAGTCACAGGCTTCAATCAACAGTGCTGGCTTTGGTGAGTCAGGGGCGATGGGAAGACCAGCTGGGGAACAGGAAGGAGTGAGGAGCCCCCAGACAGAAATTCCACGAGCGAGCTTTCCCTAATTACTGCCTACATTGTGTATGGAAAAAAGATGAAAGCCAGTTATGATTGAAATCTAAGAGAGGAATTGCTTCATTACTGAAGGAAAGGATGATACATCCATGCTGGGTTTGGGATTCTGTTCAGGGATGAAGGAGGGAGGTTCTCTTCCCCTTCTACTCTGCCCTGGTGAGGTTACATCTGGAGTATTGTGTCCAGTTCTGGGCTCCCCAGTTCAAGAGGGACAGGGATCTTCTGGAGAGAGTCCAGTGGAGGCCACAAAGATGATGAGGGGCCTGGAGCATCTGCCTTATGAGGAAAGACTGAGAGAGCTGGGACTGTTCAGCCTGGAGAAGAACAGATTGAGAGGGGATCTGATCAATGTCTATAAATATCTAAAGGGCGGGTGTCAAGAGGATGGGGCCAGACTCTTTCCAGTGGTGCCCAGCAATAGGACAAGGGGCACAAACTGGAACACCAGAAGTTCCAGACAAACTTAAGGAAAAACTTCTTCACTGTGAGAGCTGTTGCAGCCCTGGGACAGGCTGCCCAGAGAGGGTGTGGAGTCTCCATCTCTGGAGATGTTCAAACCCAGCTGGACACTTTCCTGTGCAACCTGGTGTAGGGAACCTGCTTTGGCAGGGGGGTTGGACTGGATGATCTCCAGAGATCCCTCCAACCCCACCATTCTGGGATTCTGTGATAAAATCAGGGGCTGAATGAAAAAGGAGGCACCATCCATGATCTTCCAAGGGAAAAAGGATTTCTAGCTACTGTAGTATCAAGCTCTTTGGTGAAGAATATCATTTTATATTAAGGGGTAGAGGGAAAGGGCGGTCTTGTCCCTTGGAATAATCTTGTTCCCATTTCATTCCAGCATTTCCCTCTGATTGGTGCTCTAACATTGATTCCCTGAAGGAAAGCTTCAAGATGGTAAACCGGCTGAACTGGTCAAGCATTGAGCACTCCCAATTCTCAGGTCAGTGTTGGCTTAGTGACCAGGTCTAGTGACTCAGTGACTAGGTCTGTAGTGCAGAACATGTGTGTGCTGTGCCCAGATCTGGCACAGATTTTGGGGCTGTTCAGCCTGGAGAAGAGAAGGCTCCAGGGAGACCTTCTAGCAGCTTTCCAGTACCTGAAGGGGCTCCAGGAAGGGTGGGGAGGGACTTTGGCCAAGGGCAGGGAGTGACAGAACAAGGGGTGATGGCTTGAAAGTGGCAGAGGGGAGATGGAGATGAGATGTGAGGAAGAAATTCTTTGGTGTGAGGGTGGTGAGACAGTGTCCCAGGTTGGCCAGAGAAGCTGTGTCTGCTCCTCCCTGGAAGTGTTGAAGGCCAGGTTGGATGAGGCTTTGATCCACCTGGTGTAGTGGAAGGTGTCCCTGCTGCTGGCAGGGGGGTTGGAACTGGATGAGCTTTGATGGATCCTTCCAACCCAAACCAAAAGTCTGGGTCTTTTTTTTTTTTTTTTTTCAATGTAACCATGTCACGTCCATGCAATTCTCAGTGTCTCAACTCTTCTATTTGTAAAATGAGGTGTCCTGCTTCATGGAGTCTGTTAAAGGCCCTGAAGCACTTGGAACACTGCAGGAATTTGGGGTAGGGGGAATTAATGCATTAAAGGATGTCAGAAAGCTAACTGAGATTTTTTGCTCTTACTCTTCCCTCCCCTACCTGAGTCAGTGAGACAGTATCCTAGATATGGAGCTCTCCAGGAGTTTGGTGGCAGATTCGAAGCGATGAAGTTGGGTTTGTGGGGGAGCAGGTAGGATTTAGGGGTAGAAGACAGAAACTCTTTATGGGGAAGACCGCAGCATGAGTGCTGTCTTTGACATTATCCTTTTCCCCCCGCAGAGCTGATGGAGAGTCTGCGCCAGGCTGAGCGCAAGAACTGGACGCTGGATCAACACCATATTGCCAACCTCTGTGACTCCCTTAATCACTTCCTTACCCAGACTGGTCAGCTCCCTCATCTGGTTGGCCCACAGCAACCCCCCCGAATTTCTGATTCTTGTGCCCTGAACAGTGGCAAACAGGAGCAATCCATGAACCAAGGTAATTAGGAGGGAGACTAAAATGACATGTAAATGAAGGCCCAGTTCTGTGAATATCCTAAACTACTTGCTGCCTTGCCAGGCAGCGTAGCACCAAGCAACTCAGGGCTGGCCTCTCAGAGCTGTTTGTAGCAACTCAGCTTCCTCTGGCTTTAAAGAATTAGGATGTCAAATGTCTGTTTGTGGCCTAGACAGACCGATACTGTGTGCTGCGTACCACTGACAGGCAGCCTCTCCAGGCAGAAATACATTTGAAAGGTAAACTCATAAAAGGAGAAGGGGGTGGTGGTTTTTCTAGGTGACCAACAGAAAGGAATGGCAAGGTAGAGAGATTGCTATTCCAGATGGTGGGAGCTGTAAAGAAGAAAGCTCTTGCACCCATGTTGGACAAATCCTGACTGGTCAAAGAGTAGGAAGATGAGGAGAGCACAGAGGATATCTACCATGGTCTTGGTAGAACTGTGATGGTGTGTGTCGTCTAGGACTGAACTAAATGGGTGATATTGAGCCAGCTTGTGGTGTTTCTGGATGAAATTTTTCTTCTTTCACAATAATAGAGAAACTCCTGCTGGTTCCAAGAACAAGATCCCTGACCATGCTATAGCTTGCAGTTAGGACCCAACAGCTGAACATCTCCTCAGTATCCCGTGGGTCTGAGTGAGTTGCTCTGTGGCTGAGCTGCCACCCAGTCAGGGCCAAGACAGCTGACCAGAACATTAACAGGTTGTTGGTTTTGTTTTGTTTTGTTTTGTTTTTTTATTTCTTTTCTTCCACAGTGAACTCCTATGGTCAGCCCCAGCCTCCCCATCTCTTCTCCGGGCCATCTCCTATGTACCAGATTTCCACCCAGGACTCTCCAGGATATAATCGCCCAGGTAAGGGGTGACATTAAGCCTAATTACATACATGAACATTAAAGAACTGCTTCCCAAGCCCTTTGTGCATTTCTTCCAAAGCACTTACTAATCACATGGAGCACTGAGGGTGGAGAGGAAGCCCGGACTGCAAGGGACCCTCTGTTTAGGGCTCTGCCATTGTTCTGGCAAGGTTTAAGATTTCAGTGGCCTGATTTCTTTGACTTCACATAAATAGTCTTCTAGCTCAGCCTCACCCTCGGTTGCTTGGAGGCAACTTTACATGAGAATCTTCTGTTGATGAAATCCTTTGTGCGCTATCAGCAGTCAGCTGTAAGGGAAGTTAAGGAGGCTGAAACTTACCCTCTGTAGAAGCTGCTGTTGAGAATTTCATGGCAGGCCACCTACAGGCTTTGGTAGGTGCTGTCTGACAGGGAGAAATTAATGCCAGTAGTGTTCTTGCTTCTTAGACTGTTGGAAGGGAGACGGTCCGAATCCCGTATGTTTTCTTTTTTCCCCCAAGGGCCCCCTGTGAAAAAGCAGGACATCTTTTATTCTAACTGTTCTCTTACCTTTCTTTTTTTCTTTTTTCTTGTTTTTGACTCAGCTCACCATCTGGTCCCTCGGCCTCCAGGGCCTCCTCCGGGCGCCAATGAGGAAATCCCCGATGATTTCGACTGGGACTTGATCACCTAGCGAGTTACAGACTCGATAGCCCGTCCTTTGTGAAGGACGCGGGAGGGGAGGGGGACGTGGGGTGAATGGTGCCAGCACCACCCTCCCCAGCCTCCCTGCCTTGCCTGTATATAGATATATATTCTCTATCTCTGCCAGAGAAGCCACCGCAAGATGCTGCCGAAGATAATCCTTCCTTGCGTCCTGTTTTATCTTCTTTTTCTTCTTTTATTATTATTATTGTTATTATTATTATTACCAATAATTGAGCACAGCCCTCCCCCCTCCTCTGGTGGCCTCGGACGCATCAGATCGGCTCTTTTCCTGTTGCGTGGTGCCCTGTGGAGGGCGGAAAGATGGGTCCTTGGTGCCATGAAAAGACCTCGGAAGGCTGAATCCTCGAGTGCATCTTTCTCTGCCTCCATCATTTTTTTTTGCGTTTAACAATCCCTCTGTCCCTTCAATGTGGCCGGTGAACCTGTCATATTGGCTACTGGAGTGAGAGAGCCCAGTGGACCCTGGGAGCCTGTAGTTCTGTTGTTTCGTAAATGTTGTAAAGGTCGGGGGGCTAAAGGGACACTGGAGAGGGGTGATCTTAGCTCTGTGAACTTTCTCGCACCGGCAGGAAAAGCAAGGCAAGAAGTAGAGTTCCTAAGAACAGAGAGAGGGTGATCCCTGAGGTGGAGAGTGCTGAGCTGAGAGGGTAGACCTGAGTTGGGAGAAAGGAAGGATGTAGCAGAGATGGTGTTTCAGCAGAGAAGTTGGGTTTCAGAGTGCAGTGCCATCCATGAGGACTGAGAGAGATTTTGAGGGAATCCTGGTCGGTTTTCTGTGCTGCCTTTTGCAGTCTCCAGGTGAAGCCTACGTACCCATCAGGTAGCAGAAGCAGTCAGGGGTGTCACGTGTGATTCAGCAAATTCTCTTCCCCAGAGCTTTTAATTTCACCCCCCCACACACACCCCCTCAAGCCCTTCTTCAAAATATTGTAGTGAGGCTCTTGCATATGCAAATTTGGAAGTTTTCTCCTGTTGGTATTTGTTCAGTTGTTATTTGGTCCCTCTGCCCCTCCTATTTCTTTGGAGACTGTCCTTGCCTCCAGTCAGAGAGTGCCAGCAAGAGGAGTCTTGTTGCGTAGGTGCAAATTCTCAGTCAGTGGTTCCTACTTTGTGATCAGGCCAATGGTGGGGAAGAGGAAGCTGCTGCTCAGAGTGGATGGAGGGACTTCTGGTCAAGGGGCTGGACCCTCTGGTCAGGTAACTGGGAGGCCTTCCCCAGGTGGTTTTTGTAAGAGGCGCATTAGAAGAGAGAGGATGAAGTGGGGCAGACTTTGAAACAGAACAGCCAAAGAGTGTAGTGTAACAGGGAGGAAGGTGGGTCAGACCCCTTGCAGTTCAGCTGGGGAGATGTTGGAATTTAGTGTAAATCCCAACGGATGAGTTTTGTCAGCACTTGCAAATCGGGAAGGTGGAAAGGGTGTAGGAGCAGGAGTGAGTTTGGAGATGCTTCCTCCCCAGAGCTGTGTCCTGTGTTCCTGTTTTTTCTGGTATGGCTCTGTTCTGTCAAACCTCTTGTTTCCTCTGAATGTTTTGTAAAGCCTTCCCCTAGCACTTATTCCCTCTTTACCAGTGAAGGGAACCAAGGTGGAAATACCATGGCCGCTGGTCAGACCTAGTGGGGCAGGGGAGTAAGAACCTCAGCTCTTGACTGCAGGAAGGTGGGGAACTAGCGTCGCTTTTTAAATTTGCTGTAGGGATAAACCAATTGGATCTTTGTCAGGGAAGTGGACAGAGTCTCGTTGTATTGGGGAGGGGGGAGGGAACATTTTTTTGTTTCAGGTTTGTTTTTTTTTCTTTTTTCTTTTTTTTTTTTTTTTAAAGTGTGTGTTTTGGGGTGGGGGGAGCTCGTCATCGAGTGTTTCCAAGAGAAATGAGGAATCCCAGAGCCAACTTTAACGTGGAGTCAGCTTTTATCTCTTGCTGCCTGAGGATGGGAATGATACAACTTGGAAGCACATGTGATGGGTTTCTGTGGCAAGCGGCACCGGAGACAAACCGTGAGAGCCAGAGACAGCCTCTGGTGGGTGCCCGTTAGTGCTTTGCAGAGGATGTTACTGAGAACCGGCCCTGTGGAAATCTGAAAGCACCACCGGAAGGAAAACAAACCCAGATGGCTCCTTCTGCGTATCCCAAGTGCTCCTCATTTGCATATTTGCATCATTTTTTTGCGTATTAAGTTGCGCCTCATTTGCATATGTAAATACATGCCGGTCAGTGTGCAAATCAGCCTCGTTTCCTCCTCTGCCCCTGAAATAAATAAATGTGCGTTGTTAGTGCGTGGGAGGGCAGCGGGTGGGTGGCGCGGAGCTTGGCAGGGTCCCGGCCAGGGGCTCCTGCACCCCCCCCCCCCGTGCTTTGTGTCAGTGGTCAGGGAGAGAGGGGCGTGGTCTCACGAGTTTATTTTTGTGCATGCTTTCTTAATAAAAAGAAAAAGTGAATGTTTATGGTTTAACTCTTTTGGTGCCAGTATTGAATTTTTTTTTTTTTGCAGCGGCGCCTGTCAGGTGGGCTTGGCTTCCACCTGTTTCCCTTAGAAGCAGAATTTGGGTGTGGTCATGGCGAAATTAACAGCCCACACCTATATGTACTTTATGGCTGAGAGTTTTTTTTAGGATGTCAGAAGTTCTCACAGCTGGGTGTTCTCAGGGCACTGAGATCAGGGAGTCTTTCAGCTTGTGCTCGCCAGAAAGGCAAAGTGAAAACTATACCAGTGCTTAGTAGCTGTTGGACATACCGTTTGCTGACCGTACTTTAAGGAAGGACTAACACAAAAAGCAGATTTTAAACCACTTCCTTGGAGTACCGAATAAACATACTTCTGCTTTTCAAGAAGGGAAAGGGAACGTTCAAGCTTCTGAAATGCCCCAAAATAGCCTGACTGGACAAAATTTTTATCTTCCTCCACCAGAAAGACATGAGAAGCACATCTCTCGTGTAGAGAGCAAGATATGACTGCTGCAGCAGGCTCCTTCCCCACCTTCTTGGGGTCAGACTTTATGGGCAGGTAGTGACAGGACAAGGGGAGATGGTTTTAAACTAAGAGAGGGGAGATTTAGGTGAGATATTAAGAGGAATTTCTTCACCCAGAGGGTGGTGAGACACTGGCCCAGGTTGCCCAGAGAAGCTGTGGCTGCTCCTCCCTGAAAGTGTTGAAGGCCAGGTTGTATGAGGCTTTGAGCAACCTGGTCTAGTGGAAGGTGTCCCTGCTGCTGGCAGGGGGGTTGGGACTGGGTGAGCTTTAAGGTCCCTTCCAACCCAAACCAGTCTGGGATTCAATTCCAAAGTTTTACTAAATGGCTGATAGTCTAGTAGCCACCTAATCAGGTTCATCAATGACTGCAGCTGCTCAAATTCTGCTCATGTGCCATCTTAAAATGCAGCAGGAACATTTGGAGAATCTCTGACTGCTTCCTACATGAAAGATTAGGGACTGTGGTGTTGGGGGGAGTGCTGGGGAGACAGTGAGCGCCTGCTAATGAACACAGCTACAGCATGTGCGTTGGACCAGTTACTGCTCTACAGTGTTGTATTTGCCAGGACAGAGAAATAACTTGGGCATCTACCAGGGTGTGAAAGTCAGTTCAGTGCAGCTGACTGGGACAAGTGCTGCTCTAATGCCCCGCTGTAAGAAAATGCAGCACTACCCTCTAGGGGAATCTTCAGAAAAACCCTCAGACCCCAAGGATAGTCAATGGAGAGGAAAGATGGGATGACAGAATCCAAGGAGAGACGCCAAAGCTAGTTTCATCTGCAGTTTATCAGAGACAGGAGTTGTAGAACATAGACATACGCAAATAACTCTAATGACATTCTCATCTAGCAATTCAGAGGTTAAACTACGCAATCCCACCACACATCCTTCTGCAAACCAGCTTTCTTTAAAGGTTACTCTGTGTCTCCTTCTTCACCCAAGTCTCTTCCCTCAGATTATTGTTCTTGGTACTTCCAATTTAACATCTCTCTCAAGTAGGATATAAAGGGGGTTAGCTGGTCTGATCTGAACCATCTCAATGTTCTGCATGTGGATCTGCAGATTAATCAAATATGTTAGAGCAAAAAAAGCTGTTAAGTGGAGAGTCAGTGATGTGCAGGGCCATAGCTCGCTCTTTCTACAGTGGTGATCCAAAGCCCTGTGTTACACTGTGCTGCTGCCGTCCTTCTCTGTTGAAGTCTTGCTTCTGTCGAGGGAGTAAGGGATTGATCGTGTTGGGTCCTCAGAAAAGGCACCTTCCAAGATTCCTCGCACGGATTGCCGTGCCTTTGCCCTGAAGTTCCGCCCCACAAAAACATAGAGCAGGGGGTTGATGCAGCTGTTGGCGTAGGCGAGTGCGGTAGAGAGGTGATCCCAGAGGATCAATGACTCCCTCTGTCCTGTTCCAAGGGTAGGTACAAGGGACAGAATCCCAACTACGTGGTATGGAGCCCAGCAGATGAAGAACGCTGCTACCACGAGCACAATTGTTCGCAGCATCCTGTTGCGTGGCTTCTGAAACTGATTTGCGCGCGTTCGGAAAGCGATGAGGGTGTAGCAAACTGCCATTATGCCAAAGGGGAGCAGAAAGCCAAAGACAGCCCTGGTGATATTTATTAGCCCTAAGGTAAGGGGTGCAGAATAATCACCTTCATAGAAAATTCCCCATGAGTCATTACTGCCATAGGCTAAGGGTGAGTATTCTTCCAAGAACTCATTTACAGAACCATCCATATAATCTTGCACTTCGTCATCTCCAAGATGGTACCCACACTCGGTTTTGCCATCATAAACACTAATCTCACGGTAGTAGAAGACAGGACAGCAGAAGATGAAAGCCAAGATCCAAATGCCACTGCAAATTAGTGATATAAATTTCACTGTTCGATGATTTTGACACCAGACAGGTTTCATCACAAGGAGGCACCGGTCAATGCTGATGGCCACAAGTAGGAAGATGCTAGCAAACATGGTGAAGATTATGACTGATGGAATGACTTTGCAGAGGAACCAACCGTAGGGCCAGTGTTCATGGAGAACCAGGTGCACAATGGAAAATGGCAAGGACAAGCAGCACATGAAGTCAGCCGCAGCAAGGTTTAGGAACCAGACAATGTTCACAGATCTCTTCATTTTCAGACCAGCTACCCAGATCACCAGTCCATTGCCTGGGATACCTATCATGAAAATGATGATGAAGATAGCGATGGAGAGGATGGATTCTGATGTGTAATATTCAGCAGCGTCTTCATGCGAACTTCTGTTACCCGGGAGCTGAGGCATTCTGTAGCTAGAAAACAGAAAGCAAATTATTAGGCAATTCTGAGAAAAAGAGACTGATTTTCATCATAGAATCATAGTGGTTGGAAAAGACCTTTAAGATCACCGAGTCCAACCATAAACGAACACTGCCAATTCCACCTCTAACCCATGTCCCTGAGCACCTTGTCTGCCTGTCTGTTAAATCCCACCAGGGAAGGTGACCCCTCCACCTTTAGGCTTTAATAGAATTGTTTATCAAATCCAATGAAGACAGTTGTGTTGCTGGAAGATCCTGAAAAGCGTTACCAGAATGCAAGGAGACGGCAGAGCCAAGACCTGAATACAGCCTGCAGAAGTGACTGAGGAGACATGAATAAGACAACCCAGACTGATTCTATTTTAACCTCTATTATTCCAGTACTTAAATGCTGGTCAGGGACTTTTGTGTGCAGGACTGAATATCAATATTATTTAAAAAAAAAATTAAAATAAATCCAAATCATCAATCTCTTGCATAACATATAATCTAAACGCAGAGTGTTAGAACCACTTCACCACAAAGAAAATGAGATAAACAGTTGTAACAAACATTGGAATTTACCACTTTTTGCTAACAATTGCCAGGTGAGGGTGACCTGCAAGGAATGCTATGGAAGTCGATCACTGGAAGGCAGCTGTGGGCTTAACAAAATTCCAACAAGTTTGTTCCATTTCCTGTGGTCTTGCTGATATACGCAGCAGCGAATTTTACAGTGACAACTGGCAAACAGCGCTGCAAGAGCTGAATCTCTCCACCTCCTGTGTAGCTACAGAAGATGGTATGAAGAGGACAGGGAATCCAGGAATGCTGTCAAGGTCGTAATACAAATCCTGCTCCGCACCGAGGGATGAATCAATGAGAAGATCCTGCCCACACTACATTTTCAAGGGTAGTAAAAGGGCTTCTAGGTGGTTATGAAGATGGAAGGGGGGTGAACTGGAGGGGAGAGAGAGGTTTTCAGGAGCGATGAATAAGAAATTTCAAGTTGAAGAGGAAAGCAGAATTATTACACCTACCCGAGTGAAGCAGATAATTCGGTGTGTCAGGAGCAAGAACCATCAGTCCTGTTTCTGGAGTGACTGAAAAAAAAAGAAACTCACATGACATTTTAGGAAATGCTTTTTTCCTCTGTGGGCATGTGTATGCTCAGTGTCTTCTTTCACCCTCACAGAAAGACTAAGAATGACTCATATTAGAAGTTTTAAATATGATCTGCTGATAAAATAAACAAACAGTCACACTAAGAGAAGCTGTCCCAACGCTGTCAAAATAATACAGTGCCCCATGTCAGAGAATAATAGGAAGCAAGGGAACGATGGGCACAGATTTATGATTTACTGTCGTTTCCATGAGATAGCTGAATCAGATGTCTTGCCTGTTAGCATAACACTGACCTTTGCTTGGTGTCATTCATAATTCCAAACCCTGCCATGCCACCATCGTCTCTGATCTATTGTCTTGTAGCTGCTTCCATGGTTTATCAGATCAGCACATTTACCCAGCTAATCCCATTTCTGGGATTCTTATCTGTCCAGATAAACTTGAGACAGTTTAGCTCACCAAATACAGAACGTTGTACCCAGCAAACCATAACTGGTCACGTCAAAGGGATTTTAATCTCATTTTTTACTTTTCAGGGTATTTCGTTTTGTTGGTTTTGGTTTGGTTTTTTTTAAAGAAGGAACTTGACTGATGAAATGTTAGAGACGTGGTTAACTGAAATGCTGATAGCTCAAAACGTTTCCAGACTATAAAAAGAACGAACATCTAGCGCAAGGCAATTCAAATGGGCAACAGCAGAGTTCCCCTTCACCCCTCCCAGTCTGGGAAATCAAAACGGGGACCAGAAATGACAAAGCCCAGGCACAGAAGAATCAGCCTTGGTATTTTGGTTTTGGTCTGGAAAATGAACCAAGACAGAACAAAGTTCTGCTCCTGAGCACGTCTGTGAAATGCACAAATGATGCCTCCAACACAAAAGCCATGAAACCAGAAAGAGGAAGGCAGGCCAGGGCTGGGCTGTGCCCCAAAAGATGGACAAGCTGTCAGCAGCCTGCCAGGAAAAATCCTCTAGCTGCATCTTCTGGAGCCAGTCCAGAGGAGGCCACGAG